CAAGCCCCTCTGCTCGCCCTCCGCGGTCACTCACGGCATCTCCTCCGGCAAGACATCTGCCAGGATGTTGATGGAGTCCGTCTTGGCTTTGGAGGTGGGGGCGGCGGCAAGGAGGATCTTCAGCAGAGCGATCTGGGGAGAAGGGAGGGGTGGAAAAGGGGATGGGAGGGGGGGGACTGGCCACAGGCCCCCCTCCCCACCACAGGAGGGAGTAACAGGGATGTATATGTGGGGAGGGAAGAAAACCTGTGGGGCATCACTGGAAAGGGCCCCCTCCACTGAGGCCAGGGGACCCCCAGTGCTCCCCAGCTCACCATGTACTGTGGCAGGCTTGGCAGGAGGCCCTGGTACAGGATCTCTGCAGGGACTTGCTCCACTTCTTCTTCCCCCTGGTGCCAGGAGAGACCAGAAAACCTCATACCAGGAGCTGCCACCAGCGCCGTGGGCCTGGCTCAGCCCCAGGCTCTCCGACCCCAAGGGCAGGATACCCCCAGCTCCTGCCCGAAACCTCTCCGCACACCCCACCCTCTGCCCCAGAGAAATTGCTCCTCCCTCCCCAGCGGAGCAAACCCCCAGCCCCGTCGACAGCTAAAAGGCCTGGCGGGACTGAATGCCCCCAGCTCGGGAGCTTCGTCCCATCCTCATCCCCGCACTCACCCCGGAAAGCGGGGAGCGCAGGTACTCGTCCTCCATGTGCACTTGCACCTCTGCGATCGACGTGTACTTGTGCTGCACGGGGACAGAGCAGGGGTTCACACCGCACCCTCTCGCCCCCACCGACGCCACCGGCCCCAGCCTGGTCCCATCATCTTTTGAAGTCCCTCCCCGTTATTCCTGTCCCAGCGGTGACCGACGTTGATGGGCAGGGTGGTGGCTGCTGGCCTCACCTCTGGGACAACCCCAGTAAGAAAGGGATGAAGCCAGTGAGGAAAGGGGTTCAGCCAGCCTGGGAGACCAGGGACGGGACGGAAACTTAAGGCCGCTTCCGTCACAGGGCTGAGCAAGTGGGAGAGGGCTCAGCAAAACACCACTGGCCCTGACCCGTGGATCGGTGCAGGGGGATGGGGAAGGGGCACCCACACAACGGCAGGGGCTGGAGGAATTCGTCAATGTACTCACCAGCTTCAGGGTCCGGATGCTCTCGTGGATGGGCCTGGGCAAGCCCACCACGGTGTTGGTGTCACTAGAGAGAAGCGAAAGAGCCGGGCTGGGGGGAGGCAGGAGCAAACCTGAGCCACCCCCACGGGCGGGTCAGAGACCACCACCCTGAGAAGAAGCCAGCGAGCTCAGGACTTCTCTGCTGCCAAGCAGAGGGCAATGGCAGCCCCCAACCTCGCAGCCTCTACCACAACCCCCCCAGATCGGCAGGCCCCCAGGCTGGCTCTGCGGGAACCCACCTGCCCAGAGGGAAGCCGATGAACTTGCTGCGGCTGGACTCCAGGAACATCTCTATGTCCTTCTCTCTGCAGCAAAGGGACAAGGGGAAGAGTCGTGCCTTGCTGTCCGCCTGGGTACACCACAGCCCCAGGCACAGGGAGTCAGGAAAAGCCTCGCGGTCAGATAAAGGAGATGGTGCTGAGCCCACTCCACCGAGAGAACAGCCACCAAAGTGACCATCAGATCGACCACCCCACCTTCCCCACACCCCTGCCGAAGTTCTCAATGTTCAACAGCCTCCGTTTTCCTCAACCCGCTCCTGCTCTCCCCGCGGCCTGGCCCAAGGTCAGCCCCACGGACTCACCGGACCTTGGGGGCCCAGGGCAGCCCCTTGGGGCAGGTGATGCGGTCGCTGGGGGGATGCTGGGTGGGGGGAGGCATCACTTCATCCCGTTCCAGGGGGAAGGTCTCTCCCTCCAGGCTGTTGTCGTCATCATTTTCCTCCTCTTCCTCACGGGGGTCATCAGCTTTGTAAGGGTCCCGCTCGTTAAAGGCATCGAGGTTATCCTGCTTAATCAGGGCCTGGAGAGAGAAGAGCAGGCAGGTGTCCCTGGGGACAAGTTGCTCCAAAGGCAGTGTCCAGACCCCATCCGTCCCCTCGCTAATGTCACCGTCCCCAGCACCCTGCGGCCGGCCTCACCTTGTGCTCCCGCCGGCCTCGCTTCTGCTGCTGCTCGATCAGATCGGAGGCGGACGCGGGCGGGGAGGCAGCTCGCATGTTGCGGATCACTTTAATGCTGTCCTCTGGGAGCGGCGGGAGGCCCAGGATCTCCCGCTTCTCTGCCTTCATGCTCTGGAGCTCCTCAAAGCCCCCCAGGGTGCACTGCAAGGGAGAGCGCGGCACCCTGAGCACGGGGGACTCCTCGACACACGGCACCGGGGGCTTGTCCACCTGCCCTCCACAATTCCGCTCTCCAGGTGTCCCAAATCCTTCCCCCAGGGTGCAAAACAAGAGCTGCCTGTGCCCGCGCTGCTCTTGTCCTTGTGAGAGGTAGAAGGGACAGGAGGGCGTTCAGGCATCCACAATCGAAGCGTCTGGACCTTTTCTTTCATGCAGACCCCAGTCGGGGACCTTGCTTTCCAGCTCCAGACACCGATATCCAATGCTCCCCTATGGGGTGAAACCTGGAGGTGGGTTTAATAGGGTGCAAACTACTCGGCTGAACGCCAGAAAGAGAGGATGGAGCAATTACAGCCAGCTCAGAGGGCAGAACTTCCTTCCTCTGCCGAACGTCAAACCGCAAGACGCGTGTTGGCACGCCCCACGGCCTCTCCTTACCAGCACAGTTTTCCAGAGCAACAGCAGCACCTTCTTCATGGGGAAGTGCGGAGCGTGGCCGCTGCAGAATTTGGTCACCATCCCAAAGAGCATGACGGAGAAGGGCTCGTTGTTGTACAGGGGGGCTCCTGGAACCACACGGCAGCGATCGCCAGGCATTCCTCGTCCCTGTCCTCACCCCAACCGCCAGCACCACCAGCCCCTTCGCCCTCCCACGGCCTCTGCAGTCTGGCACCCCCCCATCTCCGAGATCCTCATCTCACTCCAGACAGCTCCTCTCTTCCTTTCCAAGGCCTTGAACCCACCATAACTTCTTACCTCTGTGTCGAGAGGAAAAAACAGCCCCAATATTCAATTTTCTTTCCCCAGGGAGAGAGCACCCAAGACAGCAGAAAAGGCTGGCTGGCTTCCTCTGCTCTTCCCCCTTTGCCCCACTGGCAAGGTTCAGCCTAGCAGAAACCAACCCAGTGCTGCCAGTCCCTATTAACTGAGGCCTAGAGCCAAACCCCATCTCACTCTCTCGCTCTTCAGGCCTGGAAACCTCCGTCCCACCAACCCCCAAGGGCCTGGTCCTCACCCAGCTCTGCTCGGAAGGTCTGTCTCATGCTCTTCCACTCGGGCTTGTCCCCCTCGGCCTCCTGCCGAACAGTCTCCACGATCAGGTACATGATGTTCAGCAGCACCCTGCAAAAAGCAGAAGGTCGGGCGAATCACCAGAGGTTGGGATGAGTCACGGAGGCACCACCGGCACCCAGGGCTCTGGGGGGAGGCTGGATCAGCCCAGATCACAGCCGGCCTCCATGCACCCGCTCCACACCAGGGGATCAGAGCCCAGGCGCTGGGGAAAAATAGTCTCTGCAGGTCAAAGCAGGGAAAAAAAATTGCTTTCCCATACTGCTTTCATGTCTCCGACCAGCCACATGCCTGCTGTGCAGGCTGAGCACAAGGGACATTTACTGGCTGAGCGGACCTGAGTGTGCCTGACGATGCTCACGGAGCCGGGGCAGAAGCTGGGACAGCCCTGGGACACCCTCTGGTGCCTGCTGGCCTGTCTCAGCCCACGAAAAAAACCCCAGCAAACACGGGGTCCCCCTCTCACCCCCAGAGCATCCCCTCCTCCCAAGCCCTGCTCCGTACCTCAGGTCCGTGCTGTCAGCCAGGGAGATGGCCGGCTTTCTCACGGCACTGCTGCAAGCCGCGCTGTTACTGCGGAGGGAAAACAGCCTCAGAGGGGCCTTTGGGGACATTTTAGCTCTGCCACGAGCAACCCACATGCCAGAGCCAAACCCTGGGATAGATATTGCTGCAATGAGTCCAACGCTCACAGTGCAATCAAGGGAGGAGGAACAGACCCATCTCTATTTGCTGCCAGGCAGCACGGCTTATAGTGAATTTCTGTATAAATCAGGTATAATCCTACATTACATATCCACCCAGAACAACGGGAGTCATCCCGGTGGCTGCAGGAATCAGATTAGGGATAGAGAGACCAGGAACGGAACTGCCACAAACTGGAAAAAACTCCTGCCAAGGAGCTCCAGAGCCATTTCTGAAGTGCTTTCCCCCAGTACTCACTCAATCTCCATGTTCAGCAGCTCCACCAAAGCGTTGAACGTCCCCACTTCCAGCAGGAGGAAGATGTTGTACCTCATCCATGCCTGCACCTCGGCCTCGGAGCCGCACTCCCCAAACGTGCCTGGAACGATACCCTCGCTGGATCCCATCTCCGCAGGGATCCTGAGGCCCTCCCACACAGCCAGAGAACTTTGCAGGGGGAATGAAAAACAGAGCCTTAATTTTAAGGCAAAAAGTCGGATGCAGAGGACGGAACTGCCCTCCTGCGGGTAACGCAGCCCAGGTCTGGCAGAGCCAGGATAGCACGGGGAAGTCGGCCAAATTTTGGACCAAACTCCTATAAACTGTCTGGCTCCCGCGAGAATCAGCTTCCTTCCAGACATCCCAGGTGAAATCAAAAATGCAAGGAAAGAAAACGATTTTCAATATTTTAGATCGATAGCCTCCGATCCGTTACCCGGATTTAGCAATGGGGAAACTTAAGGGCGCAGAGGCCTGGTGTCACCTTGGGCAACGTAAAGGATGGCTCGGGCAACCTTCAGCCTCTTCTCCCGCGCAGTGACCTCCAGCCCGTCGAGAAGCCGCATGGCGTGAGTGCGGTGCTGGTTCTTGTCCAGCTCCGTCCATTTCTTGTCCCGCACTGAAAAGCCAAAGCAGGCAGGCTGAGGGCACGGGGCACCTCTGCCTGCCCTGGACACAAACGTCACGGGAACAGCTCAAAAGGATTCAGCGTGACGGAAAACAGGGCTGCCCCAGGGAACACTGCGCTCCTGGGAGTAACGCCCAGGCACGTGCGATCGGCCCGGACGGCCCGTCTCCTGCCTTCCATCAGACGACTAGGTGAATCACACCCGTCTCAACCGGCGCTGGCAGCTGATGGGAAATGAGCTGGATGCTCTTGCTGATGCCAGTATGTTCCAGCGCAGCCGTCCTGGCGCCGATGAACCACCTCGGACATCAACATCAGCAAACGCTGAACGCGCTGGAGGCAGCGAGCTGCGCGCCGGGGCCAGCCCACGCACACTAACGAGGTCTCCAGTAAAAACCACGTGAAGATCGTCAGCGCACGGCTTGAGCTTTCTGACGCAGCATTAATGCAGCAATCCCCCCGTCTCCTTCAGGAGATCCCTGTCCCTCCCCAGAGGTGCGAGATGTTCAAGAGAACGGTCTTACCGTGGATCCTGAAGTCCTCCTCGAAGCACTTGCGGTTGAGCAGGAACTCTGGCCCTTCCGTGTAGCTGTAGAGCTCTGCCGAAAGAGCACAGAGGAGAATCTCCAACAACCTGCACCGAGCCGTCGGAGAAAGCTGCAGCTTGGCCACGTTAATTGCAGTTTTACCCAAGATGAGGGAAATGCAAAAAACACACCCAGCATAAGGCTAAAAAAATTAATTGCATGATATCGCTTCCCTTTTAACGTGAATAACGTGTTTAAAGACAATAATAGAGTGATATTGGCGTTGACAGAGCCCCTTAAATCACTACCAGGAAAGAAAATCATGGCTGGTTAATTGATCCATCAAGAGGAGTTCCTTACCAGAGAGCTCTGCTGCCCATTTGTCGGTATCTGCGTATTCAAACTCCAGGTCTGGGGACTCCGAATAACCCTGAGAACAGAGGAAGAATTCAGTTACGTTACAGCGTTTTTCAGGAAAACCGAAATCCCCAAGACGTTCACAATTCACCTCATCCTCCCGCGAATCCAGGACTGTATCCTCCGTTTAAGAGACCAAAAACGCACCCGCGGCAGCGTAAATGTTACCAAGGCAACTCCTACCCGCCTCCTGCATCTCCATCCCAGCTCCGCCGCACTGAGCCACGCTGCGCTTCGCTGGTGGGAACCCCCTGCCACTGCACCACCTCTGAAACACCCCGGGAGCCCCAAAAGGCCGAAAAATAAAGCAGGAGACGGGGCGTGTTTAATTTCAGGGCAGGGAGCGGGTTACGTGGGACCAGGGAGCTCTCAGGGCGTTTTGCATAGATGTGTGAAAATTTGGGCTCCCCCCCCACAGTGCCAACGGGAGGGATGCCAGCAGATGTGAACAGTGAGAATGAAAACAACTCCAAGCAGCTTCGGTGAGGCTGGAAAAACGTTCAGGAGAAGCCTCGGGGCACAAAACATCCGTTCCCTTTAAGGAAATCATCGACGTGGACCCACAGCAAAACCCTCCGGAATCTCAGGGCACCCACTCCTGAGGGAGGGGCAGATCCAACCCGCCGGTCCCCTGAAGGGTGGTGGGTCTGCGCCTCTCTGCAGGGCTGGGAGCCGTTCCCTGGCACCCAAGGCTCACGCAGACTTCCTCGCGGCCCTCCCCCGTCATTTCGGGGAGCGTTCCCCCACCCTGGTGAGGACACCCGTGGAAGCGGACGGTTCTGGAGCCATCCCAGGAATGAAACCGGATTTGGGGGACGCGATGGAAAAGCCACGGGATAAATCAGCTCCACCCAGTCCCACGCAACCCTCCTGATCCCCCACGGCTCAGGGGTCCCCACCGGGACCTCGGTGTCTCCTCGGAGGGGGGTCGGTCCCCTCTCGCCAGAGCCATCCCTGGCCCGAGCGCCGCAGCGGGACCGACCCGATGCACAGGGACCCGACGACCCAGCGCTCGCCGCACCCCGGCCATCGCCACGCAGGGCCGGCGCTGACCGGCCAAGCC